TTCCCCTGTTGCTCTTAACAGCGCCCATGCTTGATCCTCCAAGACCATGAAGATATCTTCATGGTAAGTATTCAGTGTTACTGCGTATTGGATACATTTGGGTTACCGGCTTGTATCTGCACGTGGGTTTGGTCAGGACTGGCAGCCATGGCGCTGTGCAGGACTAGTCTCATTGAAGTCTCCTGTTTGTTGGCATGTACTCCGCTCCGCCCAGCCAACTGGATCGGTGCTGCTTGAGAGATTTCCCCCCCGAAAAGGTTACACATAATTGTTGGGTTAAATGTGTCCAATTGATTTAATTGATTCCATTAATTGTGGGACTTTGAATAGAAGTGAATCCTTAAAATAAATTCTAAGTAGTGAATTGGATCGTAATGGAATGTCCCCTTGTATTATCATTCGCCAACCTCCCTCAGCAAGCATTAGTGTGATTTAAAAAATAGAAAGTAGGTCAATGGGAGCATTATGAACAGGCAGAATCAAAACAAAGATATGTCCTCTCCTTTTTCTGCCACTTAGACCCGTGCCACGCACCGCATTACTCCAAACCATCCCAAATGACTCCCAGTTAAAAGAGCAGCGGTTCCCCGTTAAACCAATAAAGGCAGACATCCTGCTGACTCACGGCCGTAGCCCTCTTAGGGCTGGTGCCAAGGATATTATGGACATTATTCATTAAAGGCCACTTTTTCTCAGCTGGTTTTATCCAGCTTTCCGGGCTGCCTGACGGTGGCCCGTTTCCCTCGGACACTGCTTCCTTTTTCACGGCCCCGCCGGCCACGGTGCCCTCATCTGCTACCGTGTTTACAAACGGGAAATGTGTGTTCTTCCGGGAGGGAAATGAGCTCCATTTTAGACGGCCGATGGAAGCAGATGATTGCCTCGGAACCCAATAGAAATGAATGAGGTGTAGATTGATGGCGGCCACGGCTCATTAGGAAGGTGTGTGTGTGTGAGCGCGCGCCTGTGTTTAATACACTAATTCTCAGCCACTCAGGAAACGGCCCTTGGGTGGGTCTTCAAAATGGCGCACAAATATTTACAGTGGACACAAACATTTTTTCATAAGCACCTCCGTGCAAAGCCTATGTATGTAAAGTAAAAGGGGTCCGTGCGATGATCTCATCGTTGCTCTGGCGACAGTTTGGCCGTGGCCTCCGCCGGGTCAGCTGGGCTCTAAAACGTTTAGATGACTCACCAGCGTGCACAAATTCCTCCACACTCTCGCTCCACCCCGAGAACTCTTGGTTCTGGTCCCATTTTGTCCAATTTCCAAACCGTGGCGCTCTGTGGTGACACACTGATTTCCCCACCCCAATGGATCTCCTGCGCTACTTAACACCAGAGTTCTGCCTTATCTGTGTGTACAGTGCCTGTATGTGGCCTACATCCACGCTTTCTCTGCGTGCGCTATGCATGACTTGTTTGGTCAATGCATCCTTAGAAGTGGGTCAGAGTGCCCTAGTTCTCATTGTGTGGGCGTGCATGCTTGTGTGCTACATTGTTATTTTGTCCTGATTGACTTATCTGCAGGAACATTTTCTTGCCCTGGCTCTCCCGCTGTTGTTCCTCTTGTTTACCTCTCTCCATCTCAAGGTGAACAAAGAGCTTTTAATTCCACTTTCCTCCGGTGCACGCGCTCACTTGTTGTGGCCGGCCCGGAGCACCGGCGTTTGGTCAGGTAGCTTATGCTTTGTCTTCTTTAATCACGTCAGGCCATATTGGATTTACAAATAGCGGTCACGCCGCATGTGTAAGTGAGCTCCCCCGATGAGTATGTGCAGCGGAGCTGGGCCGCAGATTACATGATATAATAGTGTTTAGGTGTCGCCTCTCTTTAAATTCCTTTAACCTTGACTCTCCTTAAATGCAGGGAGAACACATCTGCCAGGCTGGTGTCAGACATTAGTAATACACACCGCTTGGGCAGCATTGTCACTTTTTATTAACGCCCAGCGCTTTGCATGGTCACCAGCTGTTGCGTCAACTGGAAAAGCCTTGGCGGAGTGAATGACCTTGACTTTAACTGCCACTCCTCCTGCTCTTCCCCTTTTTAATTCGTTTGTTTGGTCTCATACATTTTAAATGGATTACCATTCCAGACAATGAAGGTCATTCAGGAAGTTGGATAAAGATAAAAAGAGAAGCTGTATTAAAGAGGTGAAGTGTGTTCATGCCTGTGTGTCAGTGGTTGTAGTCTGGAGGTCAGCAGAGGGCTTGAAGGTCACATATTGAGATCCGAGCGGTGACCTCTGCACCGGCCCGTCTTTGCGTGGGCCTCCGCGTAATGCCTAATGCCTCCTGGTAATTCTATGTAGCTCTGGAGTGCACTGACCTTTCCAGTTCCCGGTGTCTGTTAAGCAAAAGGGGAGCGAAGCACAGGGAGCAGCACACAGAGAGCCCCAGCGACACCCCCCTCACATACACATCATTTTGTCCTCCCTCTCCCACGTACGTGGCCGACTGTGATGGTAAAAATCACTTTAGAATGGCGCCTGCTCTGTCATTGGCTGACATTGTCAAGGATAATGGATAATCACCACAGAAACCGGTGCAGTGGTGTCTCACCATGAGGGAGGGGGCGAGCGGAGGGGAGGGAGGTCAGCTTTTTGGGTGCCACCACCAATGAGATGACATGTTAACAGATGTGTAAGGTCATTTCCGATGTATACACCGGGAGAGATAATGTAATAGTCATGCACACATCACGCATTGGGAGAAGGGTAGAGGGGGGCTGTGGGGGCTCAGCTTTCCCCGTATTAATGTCATTTATTAGTTAACCGAGCTCTGTCATTGAGGGGAGCACATTTGTTCTTGCCCTTGCTCTCGCGGGGCCTTTTTCTGACACCAGCTCCGTCATTCCGTGTCTGAAGGTCCCCTTTGTTTAAAGTTATTTATGAGGTATTTATGCTTTCTGTGGGATAGTGAATGTTCTGCTGTATATTAACTCAGTGTTTCCCCTACCATTATAAAAGGGAGGCGCCCTGAAAAGATGTGCAAACATTTTTTTTTTTTTTATTAAAAATTATAATTGTTTTTGTTGTTGTTATTTTTCGATGCACGGCAGTTCAACACTGACATTATTATGTCGCGAATACGTCTGTGTGGCGCTCGCAGCAGCGGGGCAGAGAGCACCAGAGTGACTTCCCCGTTCAGCCAACTAATACGCCCCCCCCTCCCCTCTGAAGTTGTAAACCTAGGGGACACACTGTAACTAGTATGGTGCAGTGTCATAGTGTCCCTACGCTGCCTTTTCTCCTCTGTATTGAATTGTCTTTGGGCAAAAACATAGACACGGTCAACTGTGATTCCAAAGGTTCACTGCCGGGTGACTGCAGAACGATGAACAGAATGTCCCATGTCTGAAGCAGTGTTTCTTTCTCTCACTGCATTAGTTGCGTAGCCGAGCTGTGAGGGAGGTAAACATGTGTATGTGTGCACTGGGCTGATCAAACGCGGTGTTACAGGGCATTCTATTATAATTGCTCTAAGCTCACTGGCGGGAAAATAGCCCTAATCCCGGGCATCTAAGATTAGCATGACAGCAGACGTCAGATGGCCCAGTAGCACCAGGTTGGCATTTGTTTTTGTCGGATTTAGGTCAGCCGCTTAAAAATGGCCTCGGACTGTAATTGACCCTGATGGGCCAATCTCGGTAAAATGATGCTATTGTATACATTCTTTACCGCGCCTTCCTGTTTTCCTGCTGTAACTCAACTTGATTGCGCACTGATCAACTTGAAAACAGCTCTTAAATCCCAGCTCGGTTTCACGGGGCCACAGAGTTGCCCTTACTGTCATGACAACCTGTGGACCTTGGCCACCAGGATGGATTTCAGCCTGATTAGAAGCCTGTTGCTTTGTTGTTTTTGGCCCTGGCTACTGCTCTCTGAGAAGTATTAAGGCCGCGTAGGTTGCCATCGCCTTTCGTCATAATCAACGGCTGCTGTCCTGTTGTGTGACCTGCTATGTCGGTGCGCGCAGCGGACACCGAAGGTGAGGGCGGCATCGGGTAAAGGACGGACAGCAGCCGAGGCAAAGGGGGTGAGCTCTGTATTAATTAACCTTTACTGGACGAGGCCAGGACTGTCTGAGGTGTCCTGTATCCACGGACACCACGCTGACAGGGTTCAGAGCAGAGGTCTCCCAGGGCAGCGCCACTGACACTGTCATGGCAACTGGCACAATGCTCACCCCAGTGTCACCGACTCTGCCCTCCTGACAGTGGTGTGGTGTGACAAGTGCACCTGATACTTAAGCCCCCCCCACTCAATTCTATTAGTCTGTTAGCTATATCCTTGGTGTGATATTGTCCACTGCCTTTGTACTGAAGCCGTAAACACGAGTTACATCATGTCAAGAACGTTCATGTTTTGCTTTTGTATCTGATTTAAAAACCTTTCAGGCTACAAGGAGCAAAGATTGCGTAGTGTACGTTAAGTATGCATTCACATGTATATTTTCATGTGCATATTCATCCCCATGTCTAGGCATGCGTGCTTATTCCTTACTTGTGTGGGTGGATGGCTGCGGCTTTGTGTGCAGGGTTGCGTCGTGTGAGATGCTGCTCAAGTGCATAAGGAGCAGTAGGTGGTATGGGGAGGTGGGGGCAATAATCCACTGAAATGACAAGCTGCATACGAAATTATTCACAGCTCTCACAAGGCCCTTCACTTTTGCAAGACATCGCTGTGAGGGGCTTACAGCTCAAGACCTGAATGTTTTCAAGGTAGCGGGCTTGCATTTTCAATTTGGATCCAATCAGGCCTAATCTACATTTATTGTCTGCTCGGTGGCTGTGAGGGGAGAGTGCAGAGAGGAGAAGGAGCCGTGTGTAGTCAATCTGAAATGTTGCTAAGTAACAGGGATCGCAGACAAGGTGGTGAAATGAATGTGATAGAGTGCTGTGCAAATCCCTGCGTCTTACAGTTTCTCCTTTTTCTCCTCTTCCTCTCTACCCAACCGTCTCTCCCTCCCTCTTTCCTCTCTCACTTCCATAGGTCCCCCAGTTGAGATCTGCAAAGCTGAAAGGCGCCACTGAGAGGACCTCCGCCAGGCCTTAAGACCGACATCCCAAACACCCAAAGCCACGGAATGTGTCAACATCTTCGCGGTGAAAATCCTGCTGACTCCTCGCTTGCTGCTCGTGTAAGCGTGGAGCTGGGCCTTCTGGGGTCCTACGGTGTTTAAAGGCATACAACAATGCCTGGAAGGCCCACCTGCCCCAGTTTGCCTCCAGCTATGGATGCTGCGTCACCACAATGCTGACTGTGCCCACTAAAGAAAGGGATCACATCTGGGACGCTTCTTTCTTTGTATTTAGGAAGTACATGACACTGTCAACCAGATGACCTAGTGGACATTTGTTTCCTAGTAGCAGAGCTGAACCATACGAGGGGAACCTAGAATTGAACATGACTCATGGGGAGGAGCCTGGCCCTGAAACACACAAGGATTCAGCTGTTTTAACTTATCTGGAAGGTTTACTGATGCATCCAGTGATAGCCGGCCCTGGGGCCACGGCCAGCGGCAGGTCAGAGGCTGCCCACAGCAACCAGGAGCAGGGTGACAAGGTGGGCGGGCCTTTCCAACTGCCTAATCATGGCCCCACAGCTCCCAAAGCTGGGACTAACGGGCCCACACTGGGTTCTTCGCAGCACCCGAAAAAGGCCCGCCTGCTGCGCTCTGGGGTCTGGAACGATCCAGGGACCCAGCGAATGACTTCGCCCCCAATGGAGCTGAATGGCCAAGTGGGAGGTCTGCAGAATGGAACACTAGAGGGGTCTCCTCATGCCGGAGAGAGCACCCTGCTGGCGTCCCTGCTTCAGTCATTCAGCTCACGGCTTCAGAGTGTGGCAATGTCTCAGCACTCTAATAAACCCCCTAGTGAGTGTTCCTCTCCATCCAAGGCTCCGCCTGCGGATAAGGACCCCCTTCCTGTGTATGGGACAGCCTCAAGCCGTTTGAAGGGCCTGATGAGAAAGAGCAAACTTCAAAATCACAGCAACACCCCTTACAGTCGCAGGGGACACAGTCAGGATAGGCCATCGGAATCGCCTCGGTCAGCACACAGTGCAACACCTCCCTCCGCCCCGGCCACCGCTGAATCCGTGTCCTGTGCCGATCGCCTGAAGGCGGTGGCAAACATGGTGAAAATACGTTCTAGTCCCGCACCTTCACCCAAGCCCAGTGTGGCTTGTAGTCAACTGGCCCTGCTGCTGTCCAGCGAAGCCCATCTCCAGCAGTACTCCCGGGAGCATGCCCTCAAAGCCCAGCTCTCAGGAAGATCTGCCAGCGAGAGACTAGCTGCCATGGCGAACCAGCAGTACGGCCAGGACAGCAGGCCACCTAGTGTGGGAGGGTCTCTGCCTGGAGCCCCAGACACGCTAAGCTCCTTAACAACCCAAAATGGAATGACAACAACAACCACAATAACGACACTCCCTCGAACAGTGCTGTCCAGTCCACAGAGTCCCTCTTTGCTGCGTGGCAACAGCCAAGGCTCCCCACCCACTCCCCCACATGCTCCAAACCCCACTCCCTGCCAACCACCACGGGAGAAGCGAGGCTTTGACTCACGTCCAACCCGTCCCCCGCAGACCTGCAGCAGCTTGCTGCTGCTGCTTCTGAACAACCACAACAACCAGAAGCAGCTGACCAAGAATGGGCACCTAGAGGACAGCTGTGGTATTCTGCCGCCCAGTGGCTCATCTTCAGTCACATCGGATAGCGAGTGCTCCGTCCAGGAGAGGAGCCTAACCAAGGACAGCAGTGATGCAGAGAGTTCCTACTCGAGCTGCTCTCCCATTGACCTTTCCGTAAGAAGCCGGGCCGGCACACAAGACGCACGGCCAAAAACTAGCGCTCCCTCTTCCTCGTTCTACTTCTCTTCTTCCACCTCTAACTTCTCTCCTTCCACTACGGTGTTTTCTTCCCCCCCAGTTGCCTTCTCTCCCCAAGCTTCTGTTCAATCCTCCAGCGCAACCTTTTCCCCTTCCTCTAATATTGCCCCCTCTATTTCCACTGCTATTTCCTCATCTTCCTCTTCTATGTCTACCTCCTCCCTGGACAAACTAACAGAATCTTTAATAAACAAGTGGAAGCCAGAGCCATCAAGATCAAAGCTGTGCAAGAACAAGGAGCCTGAAATGAGCCAGGACCTAAAGTCACCCTCTAAAGTTACACTTATGCAGCTTCTTCTTGAGCGCCGAAATAATGAGATGGTTAATAAAAGTGTAGGTAACCCCAATTCACCTGTTGATATAATTATGTCCACCATGGCTCAAGGCCAACCAAAGGGACTCGTCCCCTGGGAGGAGACCAGGACAAAAAGCCCCGTAGATAGACCTGTTGCGCCAGCCCAGCCCCTCTACTCACCACTCACCCGGGACACTAGTGGTGCACTCTCCCCGTACTCCTACCCCTCCCCCCATGTCCAGTCCAGCCCGTTGGATTTGTGTAAATCTAAAGCCTTCCCTGCTGAGAAGGCTTCAGAGCCTGCTTTCAGTGCCAGCAAACTGTTACAAAATCTGGCTCAGTGTGGCACAGCCTCTTCCTCCCCACCCATCCCCTCTGGCAAAGGGCTCGTACAGGAGCTAGATGCCAGCAGGCCCCTTGCCCTATTGGAAAGGCTCAATACTCCAATCCACAGGACCACCACCACCACTCCACTCTCAGACGGACCCTCGGACAGTGGCACACCTTTCAGTCAGAAGGAAGCTTCTCCTCCTTCAACGCAGATCGAGAACCTTCTTGAAAGGCGCACTGTGCTTCAGCTCCTGCTAGGAACAGGCTCGGCCACTGCTACGGGCAGCCGCAAAGACAGGCCCAGCGGCAGTGGCAGGAGGAGTGTGGAAGTCGCAGGGGGGGGCTATGAGAAGGGTCCTGGGGCCTCCCCTATTTGTGACAGCTCTAATGGGCCCACTAGGGACGTGAAGGTCAAAACTGAGTTTGCGGAGGACGTGAGACCGTCCTTGGCCGTGTCTCAGGACTCTAGTGGCAGGAAGAGACCTAGTGGCTATGAAAAGAGTGCCCCCCCCTCAGATTGTCAGCAGGACTTAAAAACAGAACCACGGCCTACAGAGGTCATAGCAAAATATGGCCTCCTCAGCCAGCTGCTTAAACAACAGACTGCTACCTACTATACCAGCTCTGCTATGCAGGCTGAATCACAGCCCAGGCAAGTTAAAGAGGAACAGAGGGAGTATCCGAGCTCAGGTCCTAAAAAGAGACGCCTCTGCTCTGACCGGACTGAAAGGTATGATCATACCAGCATAAGAGCAGTGGACAGTGGCAACGTAAATCTTTATGAATCTTCTGCTGTTCAGGAAGAGCCTGAACACCAGAACAACGTGAAGGAAGAGGAAGCTCCACCAAGGAGCCCACCAGGTAAAACCCTCACCAGAGAGAGCCGGGGCTTCAACGTGCTCAAACAGCTTCTGCTCTCTGACAACTGCTTGAAGGAGCTGTCCCAGCAGCCGCAAGGGACACCGAGTCCCTCCGTCCTGCAGGCCAACGGCAGCCATCTCAGTCAGCCCGCACAAAATCACAGCTTCCTCCACCTGCCGGGCTGGCACCCTCATGGTTCTGTTAACTCAGGGCTTCCGAGTAATCTCAGACCACTGCCCGCCCCCCCTGCGGGCGACAGCCCTATCCGCACCCCTTGGAGCCACCAGCCAGCTCCATGGCCGGTTGCTCAAAAACGGGACCCGCCTACTTTAGTCAAACAGGAGCCCGAGAGCCCTGTGAGATGGAGTAGTCAGGAGAATGAGGATGAGGACGAGGACGAGGGTTGTGACTCAAACCCGGACTCTCCACGCCTCTCGCGCTCCAACCCCATCCTGTATTACATGCTGCAGAAGGGCAGCATTCAGCTGAGGAAGGAGGTGCGGGATCAGGCGGAGGGAACCCACTCTATGGTCAGAGTTAAAGAAGAGCCAATCAGTGACATGCATGCTTATGAACACACTCTGAGCTCCAATCCGCAATCCCCGAAACACAATGACAAGCACAGCCATGAGAGCCAGGGGCTGAGCCAATCGTATGAGTAGAAGTTGTATCAACTACAGAAAAATACAAAGTGGAATGGAATTCATTTACTCTTTTCTTTTTCCTTTTTTTCAACAACTTTCCAAATTGGTTTGATTGGACAAATAATAAAGAATGCAAACGTGACATTTTTGGGGGGAATAGAGAAAATCCTTATTCAAAAGCATACTTGCATTGGTTTCTCAATTTTAAAAGGCAATGTCACAGAGTGGTATAAAACAGGTCTGTCATAGCAAAATGTTTAAATAATAATTGGCGAAGTTAATGTCACAAAGCTAACCTTTCCCATCAGTAAATATTACGCACAGATTTAATTTGGTCAATTATGAAGAAGTCCTCTACTATTTGGTTTTGTTTTACACTTTTTATTTTTTTACCTGAATTCTACACATATCACTATTCCATGTGCCCTTTGTTGCCAGCCATAAAACATTTAGAAAGAACATTTCAGGCAACATTTATTATTGATGACTCCAAAAATGTTAGTACTCAGTTCACTGGACATTTATTTATTTCCTCCATCAGAACATTTTCAGATAAGACAGAGGCGCATCAATTTTAGATAAGATTCCAAATAAAGCCATTCTAGTGGTGACACGGCGGTCTATTACAACAATGCACATGATAAATTCACTCAAAGGAGGACCTTGAAAAGTGTTCACACTGCAGTAGCTCCAGTGAGGATCTTACCCCGATGCATTGCTTCTCCAGATTCACAGTGTGGTTTACTGAAAGGAGGATAGAGCTACGGAGGTTTGAATGCTCACATCATTGAGCTATGCTTTCCTTTGAATTGAACGTTTTGTGGGCAATATTCAACAGTGCAAATTCAGGGTGTCGTGTTTGCAGATTGTGCCGTTTTGAGCAGATGGGTCAACAGGGCGCGTGTGGTGCTTACCGTTGAGCAGGTTTCTGGAGCAACAGTTAAAAGGCTGAAAAAAAAACGTATCTCACCACCCTGGTAAACAAAACCACCACTTTGTGCACATGAAAACTCCAAGTGTGACGCACGTTGCTTTGTTGCTTTTCATTTCACGTGACAGACCACCTAGAGTTTGCATTATCGAGAGCAGAGTCTTCGGTGTCCTTTTCCACACTCATTTAACATGGCATGTAATAAGAAAAGAAATGTCAGTATTGTTATCTGTTGAGAATTTGACAGTTTGTAATTCTTTTCTTCATCATTTCTTCAACTGTTGTGCTTTATGGACATTTTTTTTCTTTTTTTTGTGGCAGCCTCTTAACTCATAAAATGTCAAAAGAATTGCATGGTAATAAAGAGAAGACCACGGGTACATCTTTTTTTCCCCAAGCACCTGGATGTGTGTACCTGCCCCCAATAACCACCAACACATTTGGTGTCTTGAGGGATATCCGCTATCTAGCTCCTTATTTTGGTTGTACTGTATTCTTTTGGGTTGATGTCACACACTGCTTTATCCATTTAGTCTTGTCTTTTTAATACATATACCTATGAAGTACGTCTCTTCAATTATTAATACATTTTCACAATGGTTAAATATATTTGTGTAAATAGTACTTTCAGTATGAAAGATGACTATTTTGTAATGTTTAAGAAAAGATATTACCCTAGTTTTTAATGCCCTGATATGTAAATATGAATTATATGCGTACAAGTGTACATACAAAGGCAGAGGATGCTATGCCCATCTTTTTTTGGTTGGTTTGTTCTTTGCATGTGTCTCTATGTGGTAAATGATAATCTATCCTGCGCTGTGTTGTGTAATAATGTCTGACTCTCCTCACTGCTGCCTGTTGCATGCAGACGCATGGGAACTACCTGTGTATCCCTATTGGTGAAGAGGGAAAATGTCAAGTCTTAAAAGTAGGTCTTTTTTTATCACAGAGAGGTCCGTTTAGAATACCAACAGTCCCTAAATAACCGCAGACTGTCAAGCAAGTTGATTCTGAAATGTGTGAAAATAAACGTGCATTGAATATTTTTTGTGATTTTTCTTTTCTGTTACTGGTTAAGAGCTCCGTGGAAGAGCTCCAGCGATGGGGGATTGACGTACAATCATAGATCTACATTGTGCATCTGACAAATACATTTGTAGCAGCAAATATACGTATTTACGTATTTATACGTATATATATATATATTATGTATAAATATATATGTATATATATCTATACGTATAGATATATATACATATATATATATATATATTTATATATATATTTATATATATATATATAATTTTTCATTTTTTTCATGTGAAAACCTGAAACATTCATTTTTTTTATGTTTTCATTTTTTGGTGTTCATTTGCACTGATATCTCAAAAATAAAGTACTAAAATGCATGACCTAGTATGAATCTGTTCCTCTTTAAGTGTGTTGTTTTCTATCCAATGCACACATTGGGGCTGTTTATATTAGACCATAACACATTAGTTCAGGAAACATTTATATTCCTCTACATTATGCTTGATTATATTCTTCGTTCCAATGATCATGCGCAGCTTTGTTCTAGTTCATGTGAGACGTCACTTTAATAGTTCATTGATTAAATGCAACACTTTCATATCAATAGGCAGCGTCCCGACATCTGAAGAAAGAATGATGTTGTTCAAAAGAGACATCAAAGCCAAACGGCACTTTGTGTAATCACAGACAAGTCAAATTGGAGTGAGAGGATGTCCTGTATTTGCCCCGAAACGTCTGCTTCTGTTTCCTCAGCGTGCCGAGTCTTAACAAAGGCAGGAAAGACGCTGAAGGCAGGGAGAACACACTGGGGTCACCAGATGTGTACCAAGGAGACCTAAATAGACGCCGTTGCTCCATCCCTACAGAACTTTAACTCTTCTTCAGATCTGAGGTCATTTCTTGCTCTGAGTAGATCAGCGCATATTGTGAGACTCCCTAAAGGTGAAGATAAGTTCACCCCAGAACTTCCCCTCGTGCTGGGTTTGAAAATGAAGTCCAGGCGAGCGAACAAACGGCTTTTTGTTTGCGGTGCACTTTTAGAATTGCAGCACAGTTCCTCAGCCCTGACTTCCCCTTTTTCTTTAATACTCCCCATGACTGGCTGCACTCTCTTTAAACTCCCGGTAACCTCTCCCCTCCGTGAACTTCTCTCATTTCAAAGATTCAAAGATTCTTATCAAGGCTGAACCGCCAGTAACCCCTTGATTTCCTCTGAATGCCGAGACGGGCGGCAAACATGAGGGAGGGAATCGCGAGTTTAAGCAGAGGTCAAGGTGTAAAACTTGACAATCGCCAGTTTGTCTGTGGCTTCTCTCTTTGATTTCCTGACCTCAGCATGAGGCCAAAAGGATGTGAGCTCCGCAGAGCAAGGCCATGGACTCGCAAATCCCCCCAACCGGCATTTTATGGTCACGAGGCCTTTTCAAAATCATATTTCCGGAAGTTTCTAACGCTCGTTCTTCGCACAAACAACCCAAATAGCCACACTCAACACGGCGGACCGGAGGCTCATCTGCATGGGAACATGTGCACTGTTGAAAACCATTGTGCTTCGATTTGAGTGTTAATGAGATATCCTCTTGTTGAGGGGCTTTGTTTGTTCACATGGAGCCCATACGGAGCAAACTGACACTGGTTGTCGTGGTGATTGGTGGGATAAATATGCTCACAGATGTTTAATCACCCTCTCCTCATGCGAGGGTTTGAACTTTGACACATGGTCTGACCTTACACGTTATGTAAGCACACACACACACACACACAATGTCATTTGCATTTTATGAGTCGCGTGACCCCATTTGGAGTGTCACGAGGGCGGAACAGTTTCATGAAATGCTAAAAAACTTAGCAGTGAAAAAATGAAAGGATGCCTTGATAGTTTGAGGTGACGTGAAGCTGCTGCAGTGCAGACGTGCATGGGAGCAGCCGCAAGTCAGACATCAATAAACAGGCGAGCAAACACCTGGAGAAACCCCCACTCACAGAAAGGAGGTCAAACTGGTTTGTTTTTCCAACCTTATACTGGTCTCCCCCGGTCGGGCTTTGGCTTTAGAAGATGTACCTCTTTGTAAAGTCGGTTCCCCTATGGGTTCACAACCTTTCGCCCCCCCCCCCTCCCTCCTCCTACTCGCCATGACCTGGCTGATCCTGTTTCCCGGGACAGTTGTGCTGCAGCTGTGGCACTCACCCTCCCTCTCTCCACACACACTCACACACACACACACAAACCACGCAATACACCGGCAGCACCGCCCCCCCTGACTCCCCCCTCTGGTGTTACACTCAGCCCGTTCTTCTGACATTTTGTGTAAATATGACAAGTGGCCGCATGGCTTAAGTCCTTTCTTTTACTTAATGCCTCTTGACCTGCTACTTCCCATGGTCTCCGACATGATGGGGTGATTAGCCATACACAACTAATAAACCAGATGTGCTGCTAGACAAACAACAGGTCACAAGGTCACAAGACTTCTTGCTAGACCAGACAGCTCAATGGAATAAAGTGCAAGTTTGTTTTCTTTTTAGTTTTTTTACAGTTGCTCAGATCAATGCAGGCTGTTTTGTTCAGCCTGGTTATTGGTGGCCCAATGCGGCAGTGTAAACACACAATGTAATATTCATGACGAGTGAAAGTTCCTGTGGCCCACAGTGCAGCCTGTCAGTTTGAGGGATCCTGGGCTAACGCTCGGTGGACGAACACGTGGGCTGTTTTGTCAGATAAGCAGCCGGGTAAATGTTTTACAAAGTAGCTTAGGGAGAAGTAGCAATGTCAAGTCTCCGGTCTGCCGATGTCTTCTACTTCGGTCAGGCTCCTCACTGGTGGGACCCCCTTACGGTAAGTCTTCTCAGAGAAGCTCTGAAGGTTTTGATTCAATGTTTCCCCTGTGACACCGACCTGTTTATTCATGCAGAGAGAAAGTTGCAATGCCGGGGATCTCACCAAATCTAACAAAAAATCTTCAGGAAATGTATTCACCACTATTTTCCGGTGTGGTTCATCACATCACATGGCAGAGCGGTTGATCAGCAGGGTCATGAACTTTCCATATGAACATTTCTCGAAATCCCGCCCCAGGTTGAAGGTTCTTGTCATTTCAGTGTCAACTGGTCTGGCTGAGACCAGCTCGGGATGTGAACTTTGTGCTGTTGGGGCTCGGGGCCATTTAAGACCAACTATGCCAAATGGAACTCCTTTGACTTTCTGCTCTCATGGTCCTCTAAGTGTGAAGTCATACAGAGGTGTAAATAATAACAACTCAGAGGGGGAAGGAGCACTTAACGCATTTGAGCATTTAAATTGTGAGACATGAGAAGTGGTCACAATCATGTTGTGATATATTAGGCTATACCTTAAGAGCGGTGAGAGAGCACCAAATCATAATGACAGTCTTTGTTGTGTAACCAACGTTGTAGTTTATTCATTGACTGTGTTTTTTTTTTTTTTTGCAATGCTAGCAATGTGGCTCCATGGCTGCCGGGTCCACCTCTTCAATATGTTTCAACAACTATATGGAATGCTGTGAAATTTGGTTAATAAGTTGACATTCCCCCGTCTTATGAATTGCAAAAACTTTGGTGGTCAATGACCTTTCTTCGGTTTGTGACCAAATACTTGCAAAGCTCATGACACCCTCATCATCCTCAGGTTTTGTTTTGTGCTTTACTGTGGCTAAGAGCACGTCCCCTACATGACCCATGGTGAGGCTGTCAACAGTCTCAACCTGCTCTACTCATGTAGTAGTCTGTATTCAGAGTAAATCCACTTGTGTGTTTAAATCAGAATTGCAACATTTGACCGCTTCTTCTTCTCTCAAGTGTTATTTCAGAAGAATATTTAATCATTTTGCTCGTTAAATCCTTTTACATGTGATGTTTCTTATATCCCTCAAAGGGTGCAGGGTCTACATTTGAGTGACTTGGGATTATGCATTAAACCCTGCTTTGGATCATGAGGCTGGATCATGAGGCTTTTCCCTTTTCTGTGCAACACTCTTGGAGTTGACTGAAGTTCACATGGTGGTTAGTATGGTGGAAGTTATGGATTACGGTTTAAGGTATTAACTTGGCCTTTTAAACAATCGTAACAGATATAATATGTTGTTATTACTAAATGGGACTGGTGGAAGTGGTGATATAATAAGAATTAGAAACCTGGAAAATGGCTGAAATCTTCTTAAAGCTCTCTTCAAGAACCACGGCAGGATTTAACTACTTCATTCTTTACTGTGTCATAAAATCAATGGCCATATTGCACAAAAGAGAGAAGGGAATGGAAACAATCAGTGTTGTTCATAATTAAATGAAGTTTGTATTATGGCAACCATGACTGCTTCTAACAAAAATACGTTGACATGTGCTCTCCAACTAAAAAAGCTAGCGGGCCTGTGAGGCCTCTCAGGTACGCCGTGTTCATATTTTCCGTATCACATATTAACATCAACGATAGACGTCTGCGTCTGCTTTTGATATTAAAAATGAGGATCAGCGAATGAGATCTCGTCCAGGCATTGTAATTTCCCCTGACCGCAAAACACAGCAAAGCTTATCTTGTCAGTGAAAAAGACCGAGACCTCGTCCCATCCTTTAGTCTTCTAGAAGAAGAAGAAAAAAAGCCCTTCAAGGAGATATTGTTTTTTATGGCTGCATGCTCTATGAAGGATTAATATCAGTAGCGTTGAACGTAACCCAGTTTGCCGCAGAAAAGCGGCTGCATTTGATACTTCCCTTTGGATGACGTCAACAAGTCACCCAGAAATCATCATTGCATATCTGTATGGCAGAGATACTAAAGATAAAAATTCATTTAAATCAAAATAATTACATTTTAGTTTAGGAGATGCGGGCTGTGGTGGAAATTTACGGAAATGCAGTGTAATTTGTTAATATTTTCCATTGAGCCACTTGCGTATTCTGTGAAAGATCGCTAGTGTCAACGTGCTTGGACACACCGTCTGTTTCCATAAGGGATCCTACCAATTATATAAAACTTCATAGCAACTGTGCCAACTCATTT